TAACGACTGTTGGGGAACTGTTCGAGGAGTGGAACGGCGCAGTTGGAGTGGAGCAGCACAAAATTTAACATTGCCTGTAAGTATGTTTAGAATCGACATTCTTTTACTTCTTTAAATCCAACTTAGTTTAAATAAATCCAACTTAGCATTTACGAAAGAGTAGCCAAAGTTTTAGCCATCTGTCTACTGCTTACAAGATAAGAGGTAACAGATGTTGGAGAAATGTCTTACAGTTACACATGTAAAGTCTGTAAGTTCAATACAGCATCAATTTCTGCATTTGTATGGCATATTAAAATTCATAGAAATCTGGCAAACATTAGATTTCAGTGTGGACATGCAGAATGCCCTGCTGCATTTACTACAGTTGGTGCACTTCAAAAGCACATGTATAGATTTCACAGGCACACCGTTAAACCAGTGCCACAAACACACAAGGAAGGAAATGCTTTAGCATGCACAGCTGAGGGATGTAGCTTTGTGTCAGTACACATTTCAACCTTATGCAATCATCTTCAGTTGCATATTAAAGATGGGAAGAAAGTATCTTGCCCTTATGATAACTGTACCAAGTATTTTCGTGTATGTTCATCCTTCTCCTCTCATGTGAGCCGGAAACACAAGATAAGAGCTCCCTGCACCGCTGCTGCTGTCAGTGTCAGCACAGCAAGCTCAGTAAACAGTGAAATGACCCAAACGTTTCAAACAGGTTTGGATGGTGTGAGTGGTGATGTAAGTGATGAACTGGGGATAGAGATGGATGATGAAAATAATAATGCAAGTAATGAAGTAGATGAGAATGATTTTATCAACAGTCTGGCCTTGTTTTATCTTCAGATGCAGGCTAAAATGCTTTTGCCATCCAGTGTGATTCAGAAACTTATTGGAGAGTTCCAGGAGGTGCACACTTATAGCACATCCCATCTCTTGTTTAAATTGCATGAAGACTTAACAAAGTTAAATGTCCCTGAAAATGATATCAAGGATCTCATTGATAATCTCTCAAAAAATGATCTCCTGAAAAGGTGCAATGAAGGAATATTTAGAACTGATCAAACACGAAAAACTCACTTCAAAAGTAAATTCAATTATGTTGAGCCAATCCCGATTTATCTAGGTATTGATGCTAATGGAAAACAGAGATTTTGCCAGTATGTGTCCATTAAAGATACAGTGAAGGCCTTACTCAGTCATCCGTCAGTTCGAGAGCAATATCTCCAAGCAAAATCTGACACACCAACAACGCACAATGTGCTGGAAGACATGAAAGATGGTAAAATGATCAAAAACAATAGATTGTTACATGAATCACCATCCTCAGTATCCATAATACTATATCAAGACTCATTTGAGGTAGTTAACCCTCTAGGATCTGGCCGAAAAAAACACAAGATTTTAGCTGTGTATTTGACACTAGCAGAGATCACAAAACATAACAGGTCTTCCACTGATCCAATGTAGCTAGTTCTGTTGTGCAGGGAGCAGGATTTCACATTTTTTGGCCAAGAAAAGGTATTTTCTGCTGCAGTTAGTGACTTAAAAGAAATGGAAGAAACTGGAATTTGTTGTCCTGATGGGAGCATTGTGAGGAGTACTGTGATTGCTATAAGTGGGGACAATCTGGGGTCACACTGCATTGGAGGTTTTTCTGAGAACTTTAGTAAAACCAGATATTTTTGCAGGTATTGCCTCATAGACAGGGAGACCTTCCAGCAAACACCAACGAAATCAGGCCCTGTTAGATCAGTGGAGTCTTACAAAAAATGCGTGGCTCAGGTATCATTAAAGCAGCAAATGACCTATGGGGTAAAGTTTGACTCCATTTTCAATCAGCTGAAGTATTATCATGTTTGCCAGCCAGGCCTCCCACCCTGTTTGGGTCATGACCTGTTTGAGGGGATTGTTTCTGTTGATCTAGCTGCAGTCATTAAGCATTTGGTGACAGTTGAGAAACATTTCACTTATTGTCAGCTGAACAGGATAATATCAAACTTCCCATACAAAGGCAGTGATGCGAACAACAAGCCATGTGAGTTAAGACCAGATGGGGAAAAGCTCGGAGGGCATGCTGCTCAAAACTGGTGCCTCTTGCGTCTCCTTCCTGTAATGATTGGGGACAGGATCAAAATTCCTCTTGAAAATGATGTTTGGCAGTTGTGCCTCAAGCTAAGGGAGGTTGTTGAACTGATATGTGCACCGAAAATCCATAACAACCAAGTAGCATATCTTAAGCTTCTTATTGAGGAATACCTCCAACTAAGAAGCACTTTATTCCCAGAAAAAATGCTCCAGCCCAAACACCATTACCTTGTCCACTACCCAGAGCTCATCCTCCATTTTGGTCCCCTTATTCAACTCTGGACATTACGATTCGAAAGTAAGCACAGCTATTTTAAGCAGTGTGCAAGGAAACTGCATAACTTTAAAAATCTTTGTCGTACTTTAGCTGAAAGACACCAGTTGCTGCAAGCATTTTTACATGCCGGCAGTGTATTTCCTCCTGTGCTTCAAATAGGGGAAGCAACAAAGTTTGATGATCAACTATACCAGACTGGAATTCAGAATGCTATTAGTCTCAAAGGCCTTCATCCAGAGTACACTATTGAAACACCCTTTGTCATATTTAAAGGGACAATGTACAAAAGAGGCATGGCTGTTGTAGTTCACCAGAATGACATGGGGTACAAATTTGGAAAAATTGTGCTCATACTGGTCAATCAGTCGTGTGTGCATTTTGTTGTTCAGCAGTATCAGTCTGTACCTGTTGTGGATCTTGGTGTGCATTGTCTTCAAAGCACTAGTGATGTTCCTTATGAGTGTGTGAATGTGGACAGTCTTGTAGATTACTACACATTGCCTGTGTATAATCAATTTGGTCTCCACTTGATTGCCATGCACCATTCTGTGTGTTACAGGTAAAAGACTAAATCATGGACTCAATTGAGAGTGCCATTCAGGCTGCCCTACCACAGCTGGATAGAGAGAAACTTGAAACAGTGGTTGGAGAATTGGTGTCCAAGTTAGGTGTGGAAGGACCAGATGATCTGCAGTTCATTAAAGAGGAAGATGTTAGACATTTGCTCACACCCATTCAGTGCAGAAAGCTTCTTCATACCTTCAAAAGGGGTAAGAATTTCAGTATGGCTGCATTTTTAACTATTTCATTTATATGTTGAAAAAGTTGATTAAATCTTAATGATAACGATTCCACTAACATTGCAATATGTAGGCAAAATATTTTCTCATTATTAAGGTATTAACTACTCTTTGTTTTGTGTTTTTATTGATTTGTTTGCAGATTCAAGAATTGGATCGGTCACCTCTTCACCTGAGGAAGAAACTGTTGCTTCCTCTAGCACTGTGTCTTATCCCAGTCAAAGAATCATTTCATGTGAGAACAGTGATTGGTTGAGTGGGTTCCAGGTTCCATGGGAGGAAATGAGGCCCACTCTCAGAAGAGCCATTGATGCTGGCAAAAGACCAGAGGCAGAAGATCGCAGACACATGGTAAAAGTCACTGTTGATTCCATGAGAGAACATTGCTTGAACCCGACGCGCAAAGACTGCACAGCAGTAGCAAAAGCTATAATCCAAAAGTATCCAGGAAGCTTTTTAGATAAAACTGAGGAGGGAGAAACAATTGGATGTGGATACTTTAGCTTACTCAATCAGCTCAAGACCAGAATTGAGTATATTACTAGAGGCAATACACTCTCCCGTCTGAGAAAGCCCAGATGCTCTCAGGCAAGTAATGATGACCAGACATCAGCTCCCAAATGTGCAAGAATTGACAGCTATGGGTGTATCAGGTGGCAGCCACAGGAGTACCCAGAGGGGGAAACATTAACATCACTGGAAGAAAAGAGGAAAGAGATGGTGGATATATTCAGTCAAGAGGGGCTAAGGGCAGCTGAGAGAGGGAGGGTAAAGGAGCTAATGACAATCACATATATAAAACAGCGAGAGGACATAAATGCAGACCCACCCTCCAGCATTCTGGACATAACTAAGCAGTGGCCTTTTCTTCAGTCATGGAAGTTCTTACTTTACCACTTCACTACTCTCACTGGTGTTGAACTGCAATCAAGACTGAATGAAGACTTGGACAAAAAAGGGAAGCGGCTCCTGGAGTTCTTCAGATGTCAGCTGATGAAGTGGAGTAAAGAAGTTAAAGCTGTTTTGCAGGAAGCCTTGAACACGGACAGAGAGGGCACTGATGGTCTTGCAGCGATGCTGGTCATGATGGCACATTTCAAAGTGGCAGAGGATGCCCTTTTTCTCCTTGCAGATGTAAGTATGTTGTCTTTATTTGTCATTATTTGTACTGTATAACTT